TACTAAATACCGTCACCTCTTTTATTACTATTTACCGTTCTCCAAAAAGACAATTTTACTTTTTTTAATTTTAAAATATATATATTTTTTTAGGCTGACTGACCGCGTAACTGTGCCGGCTTTCTTTACCGATTGGGCGCACCATGCACGGCCTTCTTTCCTGGTTGGCCGCACCATGCATGGCCTTCTTTCCCGGTTTGTCGCACCATGCACGACCTTTTTTCCCAGTTGGCCGCACCTTGCACGGCTAGCCNTTTTATTTATAATGAAATTTTTATTTATTATATACATTATATTAGAATTTAGATATTATGTTATAAATTATAATTTATTATCTTATAGTTAGAATTTAACAATTGTTAAATTATAAATTATAAATTATAATTAATTATCTTATAGAAATTTATCATTATTATGTTAGAACTTAGAAATTCTTATGTTATATGACATAATACTAATTATCTCTAACAAAATACTAATGAATGATGTTATTAAAAATGTAGACCCATTTTTTTCTTAAATTCGCTCCTTTTCAACTCGGTAATAAATTTTAAAATACAAAATAATATTCTTACTTAAATTTGAAATTCATAATTACAAATTTAAATAACAAATTGAACGGAAAAGTCGGATTCTGTTCGAGAAATTCATTGAGACCAATTAATTCAGTATGATTAGACCGAATTTTATGACAAGATTGTTTGACACTTTTGTCATAGTTATATGATTCGTGTGAATATTATAGTAGGAAAAGCATTCAAGCTCATGTTTAATTGAAGTATTAATGAAAATGTTTTGCCATTGACTTTCATTCTCTAATGGACTTGTATTTAATCGAATCAATTTTATCACGCTTGGGATCATGATGTTGGTGCCATAGCTAAATTAATTTCAATGCATCAATTAAACCATTAAAAGTTGTGTCACTTGGTCGAATGCGAGAATGCGAGAGTATTGTCCTCATTTGGCGGCACGTTTTGCAAATACGCTGACCCTAATTAAGGCGGATTGGGACAGAGTACAATATTGATTTAATGAATGCTGTTTTTTTTTTATTTTTTTTTTATTTTCCTATACGGTCAACGTTTGGTTGAATTGTTTTTTTTATTTGTCGTTAATTCATTTTATTTTTATCCATTTCCAAATGCTATGCCACATTATAACTAAACAATTCCATAACAATCAATGTATATGTATTTGGTCTAAAGTCAATAACAAACATAAGTTAAAATTAACGTATAAACACGACTGAATATCATAATATATCAAGCGCCCCCATCCCATCTTATTCGATTGAGTGCAGCGCCGATCCCATTGAAATATAAAGGATCGTACAACTGTCTGTAGCGTTGTCTACCGTGTTCTTCTCCTGAATTGTAGCCAAAATTACTGTCCGTTTTTCATGAGTAGCAGTCATATCACGGACCATCTCTTTAGATGAAGTGCTAAGTCCGCTCATCTATCGATGACCCTCGACATACACAGTCATTCTAGATCCTGCCTCCAATTTGACTTTTATCTCAAAAAGGCAGTTGGTCACTTTAGTTTTTGAACGTCTCACAACAGCCTTAGCTAAATCTTCTATACTGCCTCTGTAATGTTCCCCTCGGTAACACCTCAAAACCCTCTGCTTTTCTTCTTTTTTGTGTTTCGAGATGATCAATTTGAAACCACATATATTGCATTTTTCTTTGTCCGCTCGATAGCTTCTTCTGAAATAGTAGTAATAAATTATAACTTCTAATATAAGATAATATAAGATAATAATTATAATGAATAAGATAATAAATTATAAATTCTAATTTATAAGATAATAATTATAATGTATAACAACATAATAATTTATAAATTCTAACATAGTAGTAATAAATTCGAATTTATAAGATGATCAATTCTAATTTATAATACAATAACTTCTGACTTCTAACAAAATAGTAATAAATTCTAATTTACAAAACAATATTTCTAATCTATACCATAATAATTTATAACTTCTAACATAGTAGTACTAAATATTACTTCATAAGACAATCAATTCTAATCTATAATATAATAATTTCTAACTTCTAACAAAATAATAATAATAAATTCTATTTTATAAAACCAACAATTCTAATCTATACCATAATAATTTCTAACTTCTAACATAGTAGTACTAAATATTACTTCATAAGAGAATCAATTCTAATTGATCTATACCATAATAATTTCTAACTTCTAACATAATAGTAATAAATTTAATTTATAAAATAACCAATTCTAATATATAATATAATAATTCCTACTAATATAAGTTTTTTCAAACTAGTATCATTTGTAATTTTATACTAATATAATTTATACTAATTATACTAATATAATTTCTTTACACTAATATTAATATTTATACTAATATAATTTAAATTAAAAAATTAAAAAAAATGGTTGACCGGCCGGCTCCAGTCTGGCCGGCAGCCGCAACAGTAGTCTTTGTTGGATGGCATTTTTTCGCCGGAATTATTTGGAGGTCTTTTTGAAATTTTTCGGAGCTCGGTCCGGCCAGTAAGTAAGTCGGAATGTGGGACATTTTGTNTCTTTTTTTTTTCAAATTGTTTGAATAATTTTTTCTTAACCCTATTATATAGTATCCCCTCTTTAATATAATTTGAAAACGTGCTGAGCCTAAATGGTTGGCTCGCACGCTTCGAAAGCTTACTTGGCAACATTACATGCTTCGACTTTTGGTTCGAACAAATTTTTTTGGTTCGGATAAAAATTAGTACAGTTAATTAATACAATTATTATATTCTTTGCCGTGTGTATAGGATTACTTAATCCTATTGCTTTCACAATACATTCCCTAATAAATAACTTAATATTATAATATATTATTTTGAGTTGATAGCATCCAAACCCATATTACACGGGTGTTACACAGGAGCAAAGCCTCTCTTTAATTAAGTATTATAATAATACAAAACTTATAATACTTAAGTTAAATGACCAACCCTTATACATTTAACACTAGTACGAATCCCGTGCGATGCACGTGGTGCGATGTACGGGTAAGAGATATTCGTTAATATTTATATATTAAAAATTTTCATTAACTAATATTTATAAATTAAAAATATGGAATCAATATTTAATACAATTTACCTATATTAATTTATTAAAATGTTATATAGAATTTAAATTGCAATATTACATAAAAATGTCTATTTAAAATTAATACACAACTCGTGCGGTGCACATAACTAATAATAAATTACATTATATTCGTTTCAAAATAAGTGTCATTTCAACATTTTTATACAGAAGTTCGATTTGACTATAATGTGATTCCATAAATTAGTTTGGTAAAATTTTATCATCTATTTAAAAACCTATGTGAATAATAAGTATAAATTTAAAAATTATAATATTTCATTAATTAAAATGAATTCATTTTTGTATAAGATATCCAATATGTAATACAATGTACCTATATAATTTATTGAAAGTGTTATATAAAATTTAAATGGTGTAAAATTACATAAAAATGTCTATTTAAAATTAGTACATATCTCGTGCGTTACATATAACTGATAATAAATTACATCATATTCATTTTAAAATATGTGTCATTTCAAAAATTTTATTCACAAATTCGATTTGGCTATAACGTGATTCCATAAAATAATTATTTTTGGTAAAATTTTATCATATATTCAAATATCTATGTGAATAATAAGTATCAATATAAAATTTATATTATTTAATTAATTAAAATGAATTTATTTTTTTATAAAATATCCAAATAATAAAATTTAAGTAGTTGAGTAAAAACAATCAGTCGTAAGATTTTCTATGCCAAAAAATCAATAGTCTTTATCATGCTAAAAAAATGAACATTGCATTTCACACAAAAATCTATATGCAATACAATTTACCTATATTAATTTAATGATAATTTTATCAGAAATTTAAATTTTGCAAAATTACATAAAACATGTTTATTAAAAGTTACATTATATTCATTTCAAAATAATTGTTATTTTAAAATTTTTATTAAAAAATTTAATGACTACAATGTGAATCCATAAAATAATTATTTTGGTAAACTTGTGTAATATATTTAAAAATCTATGTGAGTACTTGTGTGATTCCATAAAATCTATATGACTTTGTTATACAATTTAATTAGTATAATTTATTTAGACGTAAGAGACAACATAATATGAAATTGTTATATACCATAAATTATATTATATAATTAATTCACATATATGGACTTTTTATCAGATATATATATGGTTCTTAGTTATATAAATACAGAAATGAATCAGTGTGATAGGATAAAAATATTTTGAATTTTTGGATATCAAACTCAAATAAAAGCTTGATTATTAAAAAAAAAAAATCCAAATTCAGTAATTTCAAATTATGTAGGCAGGAATTTAATTACTATTTTAAATAATTATTTATCGTTTTATACATTAATGGATAAATTAAAAGATATAGATATAATATAACATTCAACTAACTAATGTGTGAATAACACTACAAAAAAAATGTCATATTCCAACAAAAATTCCTACGATAATATATTCCAACGAAAATTCCAACGGATATTCCAATGGTATAGATTCCGTTGGAATGATTCAAACGGAAATTCTAACGAAAATATTTCGTTGGAATGAATTTTCTATTGGAATTTTAGATGGAATTTGATGATTCCAACGGCTATTTTTCCAACGGTTTTTTACCGTAGGAATTTCCGTTGGACTATGCAATTTCCGTTGGAATTTTTATTTCCACCTCCGTTGGAAAATCTACTGTTGGAATCTTCAAAATCCAACGGAAATTCCAATGGAAAACTCATTCCAAAGGAATATTTTTGTTGGAATTTCCGTTGGAATTTCCTTCAAATATATTTGTATTGGAACTTTCCGTTGGAATTTGATCATTTTGTTGTAGTGTAACTAAGGACTCAACAAAGTACAATCAACACGGAATAGCCCAATATTCTTTAAGAAATCCCCAACCCAAAACGACAAACCAAAAACGCATTGCCTCTTTCTCATATTGAACTCAAATTATTGTCATTAATCTCATATGTACAAAACATTGAGGTAAAATAGAATGAATCTCTTCATCTATTTCATATTAGATTATCTCATACATGTTGCGATGGGCTTAAGCTTGTGTACCCAATTCTCTGATACTCAACCTTGAATTGAAAACACCATTGAATTGAAAATACCATAACCTTGAAAGTTGTATAATAAAGGCCCTGTGGGTAATTAAATATAAAATAAGCCCACAATATTTCGATATGAAACGAACTCATGTGCCAAGTTAGAAAAAATGCAATGACCTAGCAATTTGCACAAAACATTAGATCTTACAGGCACACAAAAATTCAACAACCTAGTCCAAGATACAAAGAGAAAACATTCAAATTTTCCAAATAAACGGGCTTCTTGAAATCCACTGCCTGCAAAGCAAAAAAAATAAAAAATCAAAAGAAAAAAACACAGTAATATAATAATCAATCAACATGATGTGTTAAAGTTCTCGATCAAGGGCGTTTTATTTTTCAAGGAATGGGAAAAAACTGACTCTTGACTCTACATCAACAACCACTGTCTAAACTCGAGCTTTTCAGTTCTATAGCCAAAAAGATTGATCTCTTCGTCATTTCCAATAAATTCAGAAGAAATCTAAACAGTTACAGACACTTGTATCAGACAGACACACTATATTATACAGAAAGTGAAGTGTCAATACGAAGCTTTATAAGATATTGATAATGCAACAAATACACAAGGAAAAACTGCATTCAATAAAAGACTCCTTATTGATCTTTGAAAATTTCATTGCAAATCTATTCATTTGAAATTAAGTCTAGAAGAAACTTATGCTTATAAAAACTCAATGTTTGAGTGACTCTTCGAACAGAGGATGGTAACACAAAGTGCAATAAAAGAATGCAAAAATAATTGATTGTTGGTTAATAAATGTGCCGTTATGCTAGACCCCATGTTCAGAGCACTCATTATATAGTTTAGTGATAGATATATGAAAGACCGCTTGTCACCGTCAAATCAAAATAGATCTCGAATGGCCCTATAATTCAAAAAAATCAGACAATTGAACCCCTCAAACCACACATTTCGTGATCATAGAAAGTCTATTAAGCACATACTCCTTTGAGTTCTCCATACGGTTATCAAGTTTCTCTAGTCTGGATTTAACAGACATCATCAATATAACATTTGACTTCACTTCGCTTCGTTTTGTTAGTCTCACTTTGCTCTCCTACGCTCCTAGTGGTTCCTCTAGTGAGTCTCTCGCTTTCAAATCACCTACACATCTCATCCACATTTCTCAATTCTCGATAAGCTATTTCAGCTGACCGGAGAAAGGCTAAGCTGACTTTGCCACGGTTCGATGAGAGCCCAAGGACATCGGGTACAACAGCTTCCCTCCCCTTCACGAAAAGCATACATGAGATAAGAAATCCAGTCTTTCACCACGGGAAGAAGTCTGACAAGTGTCGGGAAGGAGATGAGGGTGGCTCTGAAAGACCACTGAGTAGTGGACTTACCCACTTATCCATAGTTGTGGACTTATCAACTGGTCTACTTTAGCCTTTCTCAAAGAGCCCAGGACACCACAAAAACAACACCATGATACCCAAATATTAATATGAACTATACCAATAGCTTGATCAGTTTGATTGGTGCCTTAGTGCATCTTGCTATGTGAAGTCCACACGGAAAACAGAAACCCCAAGAATCATATCTTAAAAAAGCATTGCAAATGAGTCAAAATAAAGAGGTAAGGGGTGGGCTCGACCATTTATGTTCTCGACCATTTCATATGTCAACCAATATGGAACCTGCAGATAAATTTGAGATGGATAACATAACAAAATCACATTAAGGAACAATAACAAAGCTACAAACACATATAAGAACATAATTTCAGGCTATAGTTATGTCATGTTGGTGCGAGCTATTGATGTAGCTGAACAGCTCCTTCAGAGAACTACCAAAAAAAATAAAAAAGTATTACCTCAATTTTTATGCTGCCCAGAATAGCCTCAGACTGAATTAAATGACCGCTAGCCATCAAAGTATGATCCCCTTCAGTCTCTGAAACTGCATAACTCATGTGATTAATCACCAGAGCTACTGGATCCTATGGGTAAACACTTCACATTAATTAGCATCTTTTAAGATACAGAAACAAATCAACATTTTTTCCGAATGAATAACAAAAGCACAAATAGAAGCTCATAAACCGACCGAATTTCACCTCATCAAAGTCTACCATGTACTCAACAGCAATCTCCAAATCAATTAAGACACTGATGCATCAGCAGCAAGAATCAAATCATGACCAACATCGACAAATTCCAACAACGACGCAGCATCTACAGACCCACTGAACCCTAATCTCCATAGCATAACCAAAAAAATATAAAATAAAAAAATCGAACAATATTCTTAACCAAACAGATAAAATGTAACAGAACTTTCTCAAATCTTGAATTAAGGTGACCTGAAATGTGATAGAGGCAATGACAGATTCTTCAGTTTCAGCATGAACCATCGAGTCACCTTTTTTGCGCCGAAACTCTTCAGCCAATTTATGCCTAAATCCATCCTTATTTATAAGGAAACCCCTGCCCTTCGTCCTCTCCAGAAAAACCTTCCAGCACCAATTTGCAGATAAAAAACCATAAGTTATTTCTCAGCCCAATTAAAAAATGGAGGCAAGAATCAAAATCCATTAGTTACATAAACTAATTGGCAATTGCAATTTTCACATCAAAACAAAAAAAATATTAAAAAAAACAACAACAAATTTACCCCGACAAACCCGCGACACATCATCATCTGCCGAAAGTCTTTGAAGTTGATCCTCCAGTCGCTACCTAAGTCGACCATGACGATCATACTCCGGTACTCCTCCGACGTCTTCACCTACTTCATATAAAAAAACTTCTTAAATGAGCAAAAAAATAGGGCAAAATTTTCTCATATAAAAAACCCAACTCAGTAACAAACAGAAAAAAGTTCAAAATTGTCAATTTACTCAAAATCACCCAACCAATTGAAGAAAATTAAACACACCCCATTTAAAAAAAAGGAAAATTTGTAAAATTGAACATCAAATTACCAGCAGGGATTGTCGCCTTTGGACCGCACATGAACCGATCGGATTCCAAGGTCTCGCTGTAGTCTCGAGCAGTCGCCACAAAGATGGGCCAGTCGCAATCGGCGCGTGAAGAGGACGGGCGGCTAGGTGTGTGGGGCGGAGGGTTTTGTGAAGGTTCGATAGAAAAATCCCCAGGCGGTTGCGGTGTTTTCTGACGGTGGACAATGAGGGGGACTCCGCTCGAATTCGCTTCTCCGACTGTTGGAGATGTTTTGAGAGAAGAAAAGGTGAGAGGAAAAAAATAAGAAGAGAGGAATATTATCTTCCCTTTTCTTTCGGATGCGGATGGAAAAAAATAAGAAGGGAGGAATATTATCTTCCCTTTTCTTTCGGATGCGGATTTTTCTTTCAAAATTTGGGATAAAAAAAATCAGATTGTAGAAATAGATAAGTCCAAATAGGTTAAAATCAATAAATAAAATCTCCAAAAAATTTGAATTGATGACTGACGGGCTTATTCATTTTTTCGCCAAAAATTATGCTAAATTTTAGGCGGGAATTGAATTTTTTTTTTTTTTGCTGATTTTCTACTTGATTTTTTCAAATAACTATCATTCCCTCTTTATATATTAATAGATTCCGGTGCAAAAATAGTGACACTTATAATTATTGTGCACAAATAATAATATAGTGTCACCCCATATAAATTATATAACGCATAAAACATTTTGTAGATATGTTATCCAAACCCATATAAGGTGGTTGACAACATTTAGCTTATAAAATAAACCCTAAAGTTGATAACTTTTGTATTTCTTATCGATTTTAAATATAAAATATATCAAATTAATCATCTTTTGATGAGGTTCGATTTGACATCCATATTGTATATATAAAATAAATAAATTATATTTATATTTTTAATAATAATAAAATTATTTATTAAAATTAATTAGAAAAAATAAAATTATTTCTCAATTAAATTTATGTTTAATGTAGCTATATGTTATAAATTAGAAAAATTATTATAATATAACACAAATAAGTCGACAAGTAACAAGTGTCATACTAAAATATATAAGGGTAAATAATTATTTGCAACCTGTACTAATCGCGTTTTCGGATTTTGCAACCTAAAGAATATTTTGTACTAAATTGCAACCTTTAATACACGGATTTGCCTGTATCGCAACCTCCGTCCATCGGCGGCTCGTTTTCCACCGGAAAAGTGAGCGTGCGACGCACACGCACGAATTTTGAGGGTAGTTTTGCCATTTTGCATTACATTTGAAGGACAACTTTGTCATTTTATTCTCTAAGCATATCAGATTTTGTTCATTTTTGTTCATTTTTGGCGAAGATTTTGTTCATTTCTCTTCTTCAGCTCGAAATCGAAAATGGCTTGGAGACAAGAGGCGATGGGTCAACTATGTCAATGTGGGAAAAATGTTCTTACGAAAACATCATGGAGTGTTCAAAATCCAGGAAGGAGATACGCTACTTGTGCAAAAAATCGGGTAAGGGATTAATTAGATTAACCCTAATTGATGAAATTGGGCAATTTCAGTGAACCCTAGTTTTGCTTAAATTGGGCGAATTCAATAAACCCTAGTTTTGCTTAAATTAATTTATTTTTTTAACTGAATTTTGTAGGATGATGGTGGTTGTCCTTATTTTTCGTGGATTGAACCACCTTTGTGCCCTAGAGCTTGTGAAATCATTCCCGGCCTTTTGAGACGTGCCAACAAATTCGAAAGTGAAGCTCAATTTCTTGAAGTAGACGTGATGAGGTTGAAAGCTGATGTGAAGAAACTTCAATCAGATTTGAAAGATGCTGAAGCTTGTATTGAAAATGTTATAGAAGAAAGGACCAATCTTGAATTGTGTTTGAAGAGAAAAAGTGCTCGTGAGCGTTGGATGTGGATTGTGATTCTGATATCTTGGGTGATCATATATTGCATGTTGTAGTGTGTTTTCTAAGCTGTAGTAGTAATGGATCTCTTTTGCATTAGGTAGTGTTCAAACTCTTTCTGGTTGTAATGTGAATGCTAATGATTGTAATCTTATCACTATGTGATGTGTGTTGAACTATTTTGGTTAATCAAGCACCATTTTGGTTGTTCAAACTCTTTTGTATTAGTTTATTTCTTTAGAATGTTAGTAAGATGCCTTTACATGATGTGTGAATGTTTGTGTATATATTGAGTACTTTCATTCCAAATCAAACAGAAATAAGAAATTGAACATATGTAACCTCCATAACACAAAAAGAAGTTCAATTATGTAATAGCCATAGTTCTTCCATTCCAACCCAACCTGTTTTTTACAAGCCCAATGTCAAAAAACACCCAGTCACAACAACCAAAATAGATGACCAAACCAAAAGCTAACCGCTGTATCTGATTTCAAAAACTCAAAACCACATCCAATCTGAGTTACCATAATATCCAAAACCACATCTAAAATCCATAACCTAACAACCTTTACAGTTCAACAAAGTTATCAACCACATCCAAAACCAACCACAACCATTACAGTTCCAAAATGAAGCACATCTATCAACCCCTAGTTATCCACTATGCTCCCACAACTAGTAATCCAATAGCTTCCCAATATCTCTGCCTCAGGCTGAGACTGCACCACCTGCTTGTTCACAACTGGTCCTTTTGCTGTTGAAAAGCTTGCACCTTGAGTTAAAGGATTCTTTTTCCTGCTCACCTATTAATAGCACAGTAATATGATTACAACAGGTTGAAGCACATAGGGAAAAAAATCACAAGAAAATGAGCATTATTAATACCTCTAGTTTCTTCTTCAATCCCAATGTCTTGCTCTTAGTCTGAATTTTTTGAGTCCTTTTTGGCACCAATTCCTTGGTAGGTGTAAGACCTTTGGACTGACTTCTTGTTAACCTTGTAGGGGTAGTTGCAGCTACTCTTTGGCTTCTTGTTGTGGGTGAAGTTGCAACAGAAGTATGCCCTGTGCTCTGACTCCCTTTTCTCCTTGTAGGTGTAGATTGAGTTTGAGTCCTTGTGACTTTTGTAGGTGAAGTTGCAGCAGATTGAGTTTGGCTCCTTGTGACTTTTGTGGGTGAAGTTGCAGCAGAAATATGCCTCTCCTTTGTAGTCTGACTTTCTTTTCTCCTAGTAGGTGTAGCTGCAGATGTTGTGACTTTTGTGGGATTGCCTTTCTCATGAGAATGATGCTGAGGCAGGACTTGTCTTCTGGTGACCCTTGTATGTGTCATTGCAACATATTCTTGTGTTTGTAAAACATCACTTGCACTCACAATTTCTTTCCTTTTCCCCTTCTGAAATAATGTTTTCAAATTAGAAAAAACACTTGCCCACAGTAATAAAATACACTTAAATAAAACACACCAATGTCCCCTTCTGTAACAATTATTTAAGTAACAAATTACCTTGCCCACAATAATGTCCTCAATAGGGGCTGAGACTTCACACTCTCTGCCACTTGCTTTGCTCTTCTTCCCCTTCAGAAAAAAAAACAATTATGTACAAAGTATGCTTTCAATTGGATAAACACACCAATTAGTAACAATTGTATAACAAAGAATATTACCTTAACCACATTAATCTCCTCAGTAGGGGCTGGTACTTCACTTCCACTCTCTCTCTCTCAGCTGTTTTCTTCCTCTTGTTTCTCTTCATTAAAAAATAATTCAATTAATGAATCAGAAAAACAAATTTTTATAATAAAACACATAATTGTTTAACAAATTCATTTACCTTGACCACAGAACTATCTTCATTAGAGGGTGGTATAGGAAGTCCTCCAGTTGGTGCACTCTTGTCATTTTTCAAAGCGCAGGATCTGATGTTGTGGGTATCTTTCTTGCTGAGAGAACATTTCATTATTCTCCCTTTCCTACTGAGCCTCTCTTCAAATTTTTTTTTGGATTTTCCTGGCAAGACCTCTTCATGGGGCTGTTTTTTTCTAGCATTTTGTTTTGGCCTTTCAGGTAGACTGCCAACAGATGGTGGTTTCAAGGGTATTGCTTCTACAGTTGGCCAACTTTCAGGAGGTTCAATAGTGCCCAACATCTCAGAATAAGCCTTGAAAAAAGTTTCTTTGTGGTACCAGTCAACAACATAGTCCTCTGGTTGAGTGCCCAACAAGAACATACCACTTATGGCATGCTCACAAGGGATACCTGTGAGGTCCCACTTCCTACATGTGCATGAGTTCTCCCCCATATGAACTCTGAATCTCCTTGAGCTTCCCTCAACTTCAAATTGGTCTTCTCCATTCCAGTGACAAATAAAACCCATGGACTTCTTCTTCAATTCCTCCAACAGCTTCAAGATTTTTGGGCACAAGTTCCCATGCAGATGTTTTCTCATCTGATCCCTTCTCATGTAGGTCCTCTTCATCAAGATAAGTCTTATTGTTTCCAACATAGAAACAATAGGTTTACTCCTTGCTCTCAGAATGAGTGAGTTAAATGACTCAAACATATTATTCAGCTGCATATCACACTTTGAGTTGCAACTATAATGTGACCTTGACCACTGATTTGCTGGTTTCTTAGCCAACCATTCAAAAGCTTCTTTATCCCTTCCTTCAAGTTCTTTCATTGCAGCATTAAAATCAACAACCCTAGTGGACCTGGCTGCTCTCCACAACAAGTTTTTCAGGGCTAATCCCCTAAATGAAGCCCTAAAGTTTCCATACAATTGTTGGACACAGAACCTATGCTCAGCATCTGGCAGTAGAGTTTCAATGGCATCTAGCAGCCCTTTCTGTTTATCTGACATTATTGTCCACTGAAAAGAATTCTCAATCCCCAAATCTCCTTTCAACAGTTCAACAAATCAATGCCAAGTTTTTTTTGTTTCCTTTTCAACAACAGAATATGCAAAAGGATACATACAGTTGTTTCCATCAACCCCAACTATAGTCAATAGAACACCACCACAACTGGTTTTCAGATGGCAACCATCTAAGCATATCACCTTCCTACAACCCATAAGCAATCCCCTTTTTAAAGAGCCCCAACAAATATAAATTCTTTTAAACAGTGGCTCCCCATCTACAAGTTTGCTTTTAATTTTCACAGTGGTCCTAGGGTTGTGTCTTTTGATCTCTTCAGCACAAGACCAAAGCATAGCATATTGCTCACAATCAGCTCCCACACCAATCTGAGACACATATTTTTTAGCCTGATACATTTGCCATCTTTTGAAAACAATCCCTACTTCCCTTTGCATCTCTGTCATCATTGCCTCTACTGGCCATTTAGGATTATCTAATATCTTATTTTTGTAAGTTTCAGCTGTCCATTTTGGAGTAGCATGACTCACCTTTTGGTTTCTAGGACACTTATGCCTACCATTGAATGTCTTAACCTGCACAGTGTCTTCATTCTGAACTTTGGATGCATAAATGAGCCAAGGACATGACTTATTTTTGCATCTTGCTTGCACCTTATAGCTCAAATTAATTGTAAAAGACACTTCTCTACCTTGTGCAATAGCAAAGTTCCTAACAGCCTTTCTAAACATGTTTAAGTCAGAAAATTTCATGCCCAATTCAAACTGTGGATTTTGCATGTCTTTTTGATGATCAAAAGTTGGATGGGCATTTTTAGCTCTCTGCTTACCCTTGCTACATGCAAATTCAAGCCTATCAGGTTCCTCTCTAGTTATCCCTCCCCATTCAATTTCTGCATCTACATGACCCTCAAACATCTTATCATCTTCATCATACAAATCACAATCACTCTCAAGAAACTCATCAGAACACTCTGAGTCTGATCCAAAAGATTGGATTTCAAACTCACTATCAGAATCACCCAAATCATCATCACCACAATCATCATCACATATATCATCATGATTTTGTTCACCAGTGAAATTATCAATTAATTCATCTAAATCCTGCCCATCATCCCCCACATAATCCAATGGTTCATCAACAGAAGGCAAGCACTCAGAAGGTTGACTACTCATGTAGTCTTCCATATGTTCAACATATAAACCAACCATTCTATTCTCATCAATCCAGTTAACAAGACTTATGGCATCAAAATCATTTTTCAAGACAAACAAAGACCGGCAATCATTAACACCATTTTTACTACAATGCACACACCTAACACCTTCTGCCCCAACTTCAGAAGCCATAAGAAATATTTCTATCAGTGAGAGTTCATCAGGGTCACAGTAGTCAATGTGACTTACCCTCATGTTCTCACCAGTATAGCATGTATCACCGAGTTTCATAAATCGTCCACCATAATGAAATGAAATGGTAAACAGTTGTGAACTTGGACCTGAAGGGGACAAGAATATTAATTACACAAATCAATATCCTGGTCCCTTCACATGAAAATTAAATAAAAAAATCAATAAAAAACTAAACTAATTTATCAATTTCGAAAAAGGGACCACATTTCAGAAAAAATTCACATGTTGATATATGAATAATCCACTAATTTGTCGCCACATTCAAGAAATGTTCACAGTTAAAAGAATTGGGCCAAATTCAACAAAAAATCAAAAAAAAATTACCAATTAGGGTTACAGTACAAACCGTAATCTGGGCAGGGTCTTCCTGGTGGTATGTCGTCATCACTGATTCGCTTTTTCCAGACCATCACAATTGCAATCAATTTGAATTTGCGAAGTGTTTGCTCTAAATTTTTGCAGAGAAGGTTCTCGTTTTTTTCGAGTAGAGAGAGAGACAAGAGTGAGTATTTTGCCCTAATTTTGAATTGGATTTGTGAATTCAATTCAATTCAGAGTGTATTTGGGGGAGTCCAAAGGTCGCGTACATAAAATGGCAAATCTACCCTCAAGATTCGTGCGTGTGCGTCGCACGCTCGCTTTTCCGGTGGAAAACGAGCCGCCGATGGACGGAGGTTGCGATACAGGCAAACCCGTGTATTAAAGGTTGCAATTTAGTACAAAATATTCTTTAGGTTGCAAAATCCAAAAACGCGATTAGTACATGTTGCAAATAATTATTTACCCAATATATAATAATATATATATATTTTTTAAAAAAGTATTTAAATTTCAACCACCTTTTCTCAATAATTTCAAATTTAAGAAAAAAAAATTAGCAAGCACCCGTGTAATACACGGGTGTTGAATTAGAAAGCATATGTGAAACATATTATTTTTTTCAAACTTAAATAATTTAATTTTATATAAAACATTTTGGCTTGGATAGATTTTAATTTAATTCCAATCCAAAAATAATGAGGTTCGGATTACCATAAATATGTAGATTTATTTATGATCATTTTAGATGTATTAATTGTATTTTAATATAATTTTCTATTATAACCATTGAATTGTAAATGTTTTTTAAGAGTTGATAACTTTTGTATTTCTTATCGGTTTTACATATATAATATATCAAATTTATCATCTTTTGATGAACTTGGATTTGACATCCATATTGTTAATATAAATAAATAAATAAATTATATTTATCTTTATAATAATAATAAAATTATTTATTAAAATTAGTTAAAAAAGTATAAAATTATTTCTCAATTAATATATTTATGTTTAATGTAGTTATGTTATGAGCTAGAAAATTTATATAATATAACACATGTAATTTGAACAAGTAACAAGTGTCGTAGTAAAATATATAATAATATATATTTTTTTATAAAAGTATTTAAATTTTCAACCACTTTTTCTCATTAATTTTAAATTTTAAGAAAAAAGTTTTTAGCAAGCACTCGTATAATACACGGGTGTCGCACTAGTTATTATTATTATTAATTAGTTAATATATATTTCAAGAAATCCACGTTTTGTTTCTTGCAAGTTTCCCTATCTTGTTACTTTTTTTGGGCTGTCAAGTTTTTCCTAAAAAAGAAATAGATGAGGTTCTACCCTTATTCCATGGTTGGAAACTCACCCAAGTAACACATCAAAGAACCCTAAAAAAACCCAGAAAGAACCCAATTTTCTTCTTGGATCAAATCTAGGGTGTCCATTCCTCCCTCGTATAACCTATAAAAAATCTGACTCCCTTTTCTTGCCAAGTGCTTTTTAGATCTGCAACAGCCACAAAAAGTGGTGTCTATTTTTGTTTTTACTATTTCTGGATTCAATCAACATAGTTTACAACCTTCTACCCTTTCTATTTTTGGAAATCCTTCTGGGCTAGCTCTTACATACATTTTGATTGCTACATTAATTATTTTCTGGGTATCAATAAATATTCTCTTAGCTGTTTTCTTTTCTTTTTTTTTTTTTTCTGGTTTTTGGTTAATATTATTAGCTTATTTATACATATATAAATAAAAATAAAAAATAAGAAAATGGTGAGAGGGAAAATAGAGATGAAAAGGATAGAGAATGCAAGCAGCAGACAGGTGACTTTCTCAAAGAGAAGAAATGGGCTGCTGAAGAAGGCTTATGAGCTCTCAGTTCTGTGTGATGCTGAGGTTGCACTTATTATCTTCTCATCCAGAGGCAAACTCTATGAATTTTCAAGCTCCAGGTATATATTTAAATTTACAAATTGCTTTGTTTTTTGGGTTTTATTTCAGTTTTCAAGTGCTTGTCTATTTTCTTTCTGATCAACTAATTTCCACAATTGGTTAGCTGTTTGGTTAAGCTTTTGAAGCTGAATTCAGTATTTATTAAATATAATTCACTCGTTTAAAGAAAAAAAAAATAAAAATACTAATTTCTACAATTATTAGAAGTCAAATGCTCAAGTTAAGTAATATTTTCTAAACTTTCCTATAATTTAATTTATATATATGAAGTTTTTATGATGTANACTATATTCATATATGTAATTTGCTTGGTGAACAAATATGGAAATATATATATAAAACTAAAAATGAACACTTTTGATTTGATATATAGTTATTATTATTAATTATGAATTTGTCAGATGATTATGGAGGCTGACACAGGTGTTTCCTTCAGTTCACTTGGATGATTTTGATCAAGTGGGTTTTTCTTTATGGCTGTAATTTCCATTGATTTTTTAATTTTCAGTGATTTTAATTTCTCCAAATCCCAAGCTTGTTTTCTCCAAAGCAAATTCTTTAATTGACCACTGAGTATGGAGATCATAACTGCTCCTGTACAAGCCCTTTGAGCTATATAGCCTATATATAGAGAGTGGGAAACCCCATAAAATTATCTTTGAAATAGGAATTTTTTCCCCCTTCTCAAGAATTATTACTTTCAAAATTTTGTAAGTTCGAAAAATGTAAGAAATAATTTCAATATTTCATGATCATACAGATTCTTGATATGCTCGAGATCAATGTGTAAGTACTAAGTACAATAAATTTAATAAAATACTTGTTGGAAACGAAAATCACCATAGCAAATATGAACGAGAAAGCTAAAGCAAGAAGATGAACTCCACAAACAGGAAAATGAATATATTTGCAGTGATTTCGATAATGTTGAATCCTGATACAATGAGAATATTTATATCCTATCAAGAAAGATCTAGAGCCTTAAAGGATAATGACTAACTCAATGATGAGTTGTCCATTAATAGCTACAATCCAAAACTCTCTAACAAACTCCAAAAGAAGCCAAACAAAACGGCTAGTGCATGATGTACTATCACAGTACAATCTCAGCCTGTGGTGCACGTGCATGGTGTGCATGTGAGCTAAAATAGGATTAATATCTACTAATTAACCTAATCTAACAGTCTCCCCTCAATTCGAGCGAGCTGAGAGGAATAACTCGAAGTTTGTTGCGCATGCGAGAGAAGAATTGCCCTGTGAGAGGTTTAGTCAAGGAGTCAGCTGTTTGGTCGATGGATGGAATGTGTAAGACTGATATTGTCTTGTTAAGGACTTTTTCTCTGACAAAATGAAGGTCAACTTCGATGTGCTTTGTCCTCCCTTGAATGACTGGATTGCAAGACATGAAAACTGTGCTGAGATTATCAACCCAAATTGTTGGAGGTGGAAGTTCTCTTAAGTGAAGCTCATGAAGAAGAATTTTTATCCATAATACTTCTGAAACTGCAGTGCCCAAGCTTCTATATTCAGCCTCAGTGCTGCTTCTTGAGACTGTATGTTGCTTCCTTGAGCTCCAGGAGATGAGATTATCACCAATGAACACACAATAGCCTGATGTTGATTTTCTGTCATCAGGATCTGTAGCCCAATCCGAGTCAGAGAATGCAGAGATGTGAAGATGAGAAGACTTGACAAATGAAAGACCATAGTCTGCAGTACCAACAATATATCTGAGAAGCCTTTTTCATAGCTTTCCAATGTGGCTCAAGTGGAGATTGCATGAATTGACTCAGCTTGTTGACTGCATAAGTGATGTCTGGCCTTGTGATGGTCAAATACTGAAGACACCCTATGAGTTGTCTATAATGGAAAGGATCTGATAAAGGGTTTCCATTGAACTTTGACAAACCTGGAGAACTAATCATAGGAGTGCTGAGTCCCTTTGAGTTTTTCATGTTAGCCTTATCAAGAATCTGAGAGGTGTAATTTTGTTGAGTGAGCAACATGCCATTTTTGGTGTAGTGGATCTCCATTCCAAGGAAATGGTGCAAAGTTCCCAGATCCTTCAGAGAAAACACTTTGGATAGAGAAAGAATGACATTATCAATAAGAGTGCTGCAGCTTCCTGTAATTAAAATATCATCTACATAAACTAGAACATAGATGATGTGACAAGCAGTGGCTTTGATGAACAGAGATGTATCTGCAAGAGATGATTTGAAACCCAAAGCAATGAGGACTTTAGTCAGTTTATCAAACCAAGTTTTGGAAGCTTGCTTAAGACCATAGATGGCTTTGTGAAGTTTGCAGCCATAGCCAATTTGCTTATGAGTTTCAAACCCAGGTGGCTGCTCCATGTATATCTCTGTAGAAGGACCAAGTTCTCCATTTAAAAAGGCATTATCCACATCTATCTGTTTGATTCTCCATCCCTTAGTCAAGGCAATTGAAAGAATAAGTCTGATGGTCACTGGTTTAATGACTGGGCTGAAGACCTCATTGAAATCAATGCCTGCCACCTGTGTGTAACCCTTTGCAACTAACCGTGCCTTGTACCTGGATATGGTCCCATCTGCATTATGTTTAACTTTGAACACCCATTTGCATCCTATGGGCTTTCTGTCAGGTGGTAAGGAAATAACTGTCCAGGTTTTGTTTTTAACAAGAGCTTGATACTCAGTTTCCATGGCTTGTCTCCAATGAGGAGTTGAGAGTGCTTCTTCAAGGGTTTGAGGTTCCTCTGTTGGAAGAGAACAAGAATAAACCTTGGGTTTGAATATCCCCCTCTTGGATCTGGTGACCATATGATGAAGGGATTGATCTGCTGCATGATTCTCTTCCTGTTGAATAGGAGGACTAGAAGTCTCCACATTGGTTGTGCCATCTTCTGTGTGAAGTGGTGTAGTAGCAGGAGAGTCTTGTGTGTTGTGAGTATGGTGTGAGGAAGTATGAGGTGAATGCAAAGGGGTGATAATTTGGTGTGTGTGTGTAGCTGAATGAGTCTCATTTTGTGAGTGTGTTGTGTCTGGAATTTGATTTGATTGTGTATTGATATGCAAAGGTGGTGATGCAGAGAAACCAAAAACATCATAATGTTGCTCAATATGCCTCAGATCATTAGTTTTCTTATAAGGGAAACAAAACTCATCAAAAACCACATTTCTAGAGATAATGATCTTATTATTCACTAACACTTTGTACCCTATGAATTGAGAGCTGTAGCCTAAGAAAATCCTTGGTGTTGATCTCAGATCCAACTTATCCTTATTGTAAGGTCTCAAATGGGGAAAACATCTGCAGCCAAAGATCTTAAGGTGTTTATAATTGGGATTCAAGCCATAAAGTCTGTGATAAGGTGACTGGTAGGATATAGTTTTATTTGGGATTCTGTTGATAAGGTATATGGCTGTAGAAAATGCTTGTTCCCAGAACCTTTTTGGAACATTTGAAGCTGACATCATGCTAAGGGAAACTTCTATGAGTTGCCTATGTTTTCTTTCTACTAACCCATTTTGCTGAGGGGTATATGGACAAGAAATTTTGTGGTGAATTCCCTTTTCTGAAAACAATGTTGTTAAGGGTTTGAACTCAGTCCCACCATCACTTTGAATGGCTTTGATTTTATGGTTGAACTGATTTTCAACCAGGTTTTGAAAATGGACAAAGGCTTTGTAAGTATCTGATTTTTGCTTGAGAAAATACAACCAAGTGAACTTTGTATAATCATCAACAAATGCTACATAGTAACTAGCTCCTGAAGTGGATTTTATAGGTGCTGGACCCCACAGGTCAGTGTGAATGAGTTCAAGGGGCTTTTCAGTGTTATGAGTAGCAGTAGGAAAAGGCAAAACATGAGACTTTGCTTGGAGACAATCAGAACAAAGAGTTATTTTATTATTGGCATAAGGCAGATTACATGCTTCAAGAGCTCTTTTGGTAACATCATAAGAAGGATGACCTAACCTCCTATGCCAAAATTCTAAATCCTTAACTGAACTAGCAAAATAACTAAATTTCTTGAGGCTTCTGTCCTCTTGATTCAAAGACTGGGGTAATGAAAGCTTAGGATTCTTCATTTTCATCTTGAAAGTGTATAGACCATCCTTAAGAGTTCCCTTGAGAAGAGGTGTTCCTGTGTGCTGGTCCTTCACAACACAGAAAGTGGCAAAAAATTCAAAGAAAACATTGTTATCTTTGGCAAATTGAGCTACACTAATGAGGTTCTTAGCTATTTCTGGAACATGAAGGAGGTTATTCAATTTGAAAGTATGCTGTGAGTTTGTGAGAAGTGCCTTACCAACATGTGAGATGTCTAGTCCTGTCCCATTTCCAATTTGCAGCTTGTTGTTTCCATTGTAGTCTGAGGCCACACTTAAGTTGCTGAAGTCATTGGTTATATGGTGAGAAGCTCCTGAATCAGGAAACCAGTCATTCTCACTTTGGCTGCTACCTGAAGCATACATGGCAGATGTTTGTCCAATGCTTCTGTTGTCATTGAAGTTTCTCTGATTTGAGTTGTTGGGGATAAACTCTGCATTGAATCTGTTGTAGCACTTATCAGCCATGTGGTTGGTATAGCCACAGATCTGGCACTGAACTCTATTTTGAGTTGATCTTCCTCCTCTTCCTCTTGTCCCTCTACCTCTACCTCTGTATCCTCCTCTTCCTCTCTGGTTACTAAAACTTTGAGGTGGTTTGCTTACTTGTGAGGCTAAGTTGGCAGAGGGCAGATTGGAGTTCTCAGCAACAACTGCAGCTGCTTCAAGTCTACTCTCATAGGTGAGCAAAAGGGACATCACATCCACAAGAGTAAGTGTTTCTGCTCTTGCATTGACACTTACAACAACAGCATCATACTCTGAACCCAAACCACTCAAGATGTGCATGATCTGATCTTGCTCAGAGATGGTATGTCCTCCTGCAGCTAAGGTGTCACAGCACACTTTGATTTTGTTGACACACTCCCTTATACTGAGATTGCCTTTCTTGAGGTTTTGGAGTTGGATTATGAAGTGCATGGTTCTTGCCCTTGACCTTGTTGAGAAAGATGCTTCAAGGGCCTTCCAGATCTCAAAGGATGTGTTCAAACCAATCACCGAGATTAAGATGGATTCTGATAATGAGGAGAGTAGCCATGAGGCCAGCAATTGGTCTTGCCTCTGCCAGCTCACATAGTCTGGATTTGTTTGAAGCAGTCCCTCCTCTGACCCTGGAATGAATCTGGTGGGTTGAAGGTTAGATCCATCGAGAAAGCCCTCTAGGCCATATCCTCTAGCTGTGGTTAGGACTTGTTGCCTCCAAAGGAGATGATTTTCATCTGTGAGTTTGATTGAGAGGAGCTGGTTATGGAGAGGTATGGGTTGAGATGAAGAAGATGACTGACTATTCTGAGAGGAGGTTGGAGTTTCTGCCATGGCTCGATTCACAGAAATAGAGGATCTCTATCCCTGCTCTGATACCATGTTGGAAACGAAAATCACCATAGCAAATATGAACGAGAAAGCTAAAGCAAGAAGATGAACTCCACAAACAGGAAAATGAATATATTTGCAGTGATTTCGATAATGTTGAATCCTGATACAATGAGAATATTTATATCCTATCAAGAAAGATCTAGAGCCTTAAAGGATAATGACTAACTCAATGATGAGCTGTCCATGAATAGCTACAATCCAAAACTCTCTAACAAACTCCAAAAGAAGCCGAACAAAACGGCTAGTGCATGATGTACTATCACAGTACAATCTCAGCCTGTGGTGCACGTGCATGGTGTGCATGTGAGCTAAAATAGGATTAATATCTACTAATTAACCTAATCTAACAATACTCCTTTTAATAAATGTTGTTTTGAAAAGTTGCACAGTAATTAAGAATAATTTTTTTGTTAATAATAACCCTCATTAATGAGAATAAAGATTGATGTTTTGAGAAAATATAGAGAGTGAATATGAAAAGAGTAATGTATTTATTAATTAGATAAGGGTAATAATAGAAAAATGTGTACAAAATAGCCAAAACGACATTTATTTAGTAAATGATCAATTAAACTAGAATGACAAATAATAAAAATAGGAGGGAGTAGTATATTTTATATCGACTAATGGAGATATTGCATGAGTTTCGTGGTTGAAAGTTTAACATGGCAAATATGTTTACTGAATTAATAATTTTGAATTACATCACAAAACATACATGCTTTGTCAAACATCCGCTAACAATCCCAAATTAACTGGCTGAGTTTCACTATGTTATATGTAGGGGAGAAAAGTGCAAAAGTGCAATTGCTGAAAACTTTCTTAAATCGTCTATAAAGTATAATCACAAAATTTGATGTGATTCAGCTAATCGTTAGACTAGTCGATCAATCGTAGTTTTCTAACAAAAAATACATATTTATACTATAATAAAATATTTTACTTTTATAGTTTATGTCATCCTTTAGAGTACGACATTAATTCAATTTGAAAGCATGCATATCTGTTGAAAAAATTATGATTGTCCAACAACCTTATCCTATTATCATAGGAATGTCTTTAGTTTTTCTATGAAATGAAATAGCTTGAACATTTTGAATTACCTACAAAATTTGGTCGACATTTTTATGTGTAATTTCTCAAGCAATTAAAACACAAATATACACTACAACAAAATGATGAAATTCCAACGAAAGATTTCATTACAAATATATTGTAATAGAATTCCAACGAAAATTCCAACAAAAATATTCTGTTGTAATGAGTTTTCCATTGGAATTTTTGTTGGATTTTGGCGATTCCAATGAAGGTGGAAATAAAAATTCTAACAAAAATTGCATATTCCAACGGAAATTCCTACGGTAAAAAACCGTTAGATTCATCAAATTCCATCTAAAATTTCAATGGAAAACTTATTCCAACAGAAATTATACCATTGGAATATCCGTTGAAATTTCTATTGGAATATATTACCGTAGAATTTTCTGTTGGATTATAACAATTTTTTTGTAGGGATAGTTGACGGTAAGTTAAGATTTAGAACACGTTAATATATATAGCACAAAATTGTAGTTATATAGTAGTAGTAGTAGTAGGATTCCTTAATTATTCTAATGCAATTGAGTCCCTTTCCTCAAAAGAACTGTCCTTAAATCTGATTCCTCAATATTCATCTGAGTTCTTCATATTCTTCTCTATGCACGCTCAATGCTTCTGGTTCAAGTCCACTTGGCTAATCGAATAAGTTTTGGTGCTCATTAGCGATTGTTGTCAATCTTCATTAAACACAATCAGACTTTGTTCACTCGTTTGATTCGACCACTCTCTCATTGCTGTCTACATTACATTATGGTTTGATAATTTCGACATGTATATATATGCAATGATAATAAGCATCTGCCTTTAAGTTAAAAAGGATTATTTAGTTGTCTGCATATATATCATTTCTTGCAAGCAATTAAGCAATTTTAGTGTCATATGTTGTGATGGAGTTCTTCAACTATTTGGAAATGTGATTATTAAGACACTAACGAGGCATGAGGTAGTTATCCATGAAGGTAGATAATCACTACTAGTAATCACTAAGGACTATCAACAGAGAATCAATTGTTAATGAGTCTCGTAAACTGAAATAATCTCACATACACAATTTAAAATACCAAAATTCAAAAGTTATATCTTGGGTATACAGTTTTATAATTTATTTTATCTATTAATGTATAATGAAATTGTATCCCTCATATGCGTGTGCATTATAGAATATTATATATCGTGTCTCTAAAGATGAAGGCAAGTCAAATCAAAATATTTCATGTTCAAGCTCATGTTTGATTAATAAATGAGTCCTTATCTCATTTAATAAACAAGTAAGATCCAACTCAGTTAATACACAAATTCGATTAAGTGTTTAAGACTAGTTCGTTTAAGTATAAGATCAAGTTGAGCTCGAATTTTTACAAGTCAAACCAAACTATGTTCGCAGACAATTTTGCTCTAGTCCCCCACCCACCCCCCTCACCAAATGTTTTTTTTTAGATCCGCCCCTGGTTATCTAAAATTTTGCATTTTTAATTTCCTTGACTCTTTATATTTCTAATATCATCACTCTTCTATATGCTAGCATGTGTGTGTTTCTCGCGCAAAGAAAAATGTAAAGACAATACACTAGAAGAAAATGATAATTTCAACGGAAATATATTCCAATAGAATTTCAAGAGCAATTCCAATGGATATTTCAATGCTATTATTTCTGTTGGGATTTTTTAATGGCTTCCAACGGAAATTCCAACAAAAATATTCCGTTGGAATAAGCTTTCCATTGGAATTTCTGTTGAATTTTGACGATTCCAACAGTAGATTTTCCAACGGTGGTGGAAATAAAAATTCCAACGGAAGTTGCATATTCCAACGGTAAAAAGCCATTGGAAATATATATAGCCGTTGGAATCGTCAAATTCCATCTAAAATGCCAATGAAAAACACATTCCAACAGAATATTTTTGTTGGAATTGCTTCAACGGAAACTATACCATTGTAATATCCGTTGGAATTTTTTATGGAATATATTACCATAGAATTTCCCGTTGAAATATAATAATTTTTTTGTAGTGATAAGATAAAAACGTGTAATGTTTCATACTTCTTCACTTCTCCTAATTTTTTTCATGCATGAATATATGCTAGCTTGTTCTCTCTACCCGAATGCACACACAACTACACAAACATGTGAACCTAAAATTATTTTCAACATATGATAACAGGGTGATTCACAAGACAATAGAACGATATCAAGCGACTTTGAAGAGCCCGGCAATTAGCGAAACAATTAATATGGAAGAAGATATGCAGGTATATATATATATATATGTCCTTTACTCCAACCATATAAATCTGCTGTGTACTCATAAGTCTTTACCCATCATTTTCTTTATAATACATGTAAAATGGCCGGGAGTCATGTTGTTTTTCAGCCCTATATACGTAAATACATATCTTTGTTAATTAATGTTTAGCAATTGCAGACTAGCACTATATATTCTTGATTCCTATAGTATATTTATAGAATATTTGAATGGAGGCAGAATTTGAAAGACGAGACTACCGAACTACATAAAAGGATTGAGCTCCTTGAAGTATCTGAAAGGTCATCATCGTTGTCTATCCATTTTGTTCTTACAGAAGTAATTCTTAAAAATAGTGGTATCTGAGACTAACAAATGTGTACCGTTTTTAGAATGCTCATGGGAGAGTGTTTAGATTCTTGTTCGAAGGACGAATTAGAGCAGCTTGAACAACAATTAGAACAAAGTTTGATGAACATCAGGACTCAAAAGGTATACCAACATAAAATACATTAAATTTATATATAGTGAAAATTAATTGGCTATAAGCCTATATAAGGTACTTATTTGAATCTGTTGAATCCAAACATCTGAATCCAAACATCTTATCACAGAGCACATTGTTGAAAGAGCAGATTGATCGCATGAAGCAACAGGTAAAACACTACAAGAAATGTCAATTTTAACTAGACAAAAATTTCTAGGTAAATCCGTTTACCTAGAAAATAGCTAGACAATTCCTACAAATGCTGTTGTAGGTAAAGTGCTTGTTGGTAAATTTTTCCCTAGACACATACCAATGTCTAGGTAAATTTCCTAGACATTTACTACACAATTGCAACAAAACAAAATTTTAGCATGCCAACACAATACCAACAAAAATATTTGTAGTTAATTATTTGTCTAGCTATTTCCCTATAAATTACCTACATTTTACCAAGATATATGCCAACAAAATACCAACAAAACTCGTTCCTACAGATTCCCTACAAAATTTTTAATCAACTTTGCTACAAAATACCTATAAACGTTTGTAGTTAAATATTTGTCTAGCTATTTCTCTATAAATTACCTACATTTTACCAAGATATACGCCAACATAATACCTACAAAATATTTATCTACATATTACCTACAAACTTTTTCATCAACATTACGACAAAATACTTAGAAACTTTTGTAGTTAAATATTAGTCTAGCTATTTCCCTATAAATTACTACATTTTACCAACATATATGGCAACATAATACCTACAAAACTGTTACCTACAGATTACCTACAAAAGTTTTCATTAACACTACTACAAAATACCTAGATAACTTTTGCCTACATATTACCAATAACAAAATATACCTAGAAATTACCAACATAAAAACATAGCTAGCAATTACCTACAAACTACACTACAAATTACTTAGAAAATTTTTGTCTACATTTTACCAACAAACCCAAGAGCTAGTAATTACCTACAAATTTGAAACAGCTACAAATTACCTACATGTTATTATTATCAAGTACCTACAAGTTACCTACAAGTTTTTTGAGTCTAGATATTTTGTTGGTAAAATAGGTAGAGATTACCTACAAATTTTAAAGGGCTACATATTTGCTACAAATTATTATTTTTAAAAAAATTGATATATTTTCAATTCAAAAAGTACATACTAAAATCATATAAAAAAATACACCATCTATTTTAAAGTAAATTACCCATGAATTCCAAAAGTCTCACGACTATATCCAAAATAACTGATGTCATAAGTCAAGTATCAAACAAGTATAAATCCGTCCTCCAAAATATAACACTCGCATTCAAAATATGATAAAAATAATACAAGTATCAAACAAACAATAAAATCATCTAGTTGTCATTTAGCCTCGTCTCACCGCCACTTTGAGATGTGCTCCCGCGAGACATCATCATCTCAAAACGTTCTTCGAAAGTCTTAAATTGTTGTTGCAACTCATCCAACTTCACTTGCACTTCAGCTCGCCCTTCAACCCTACCTTCCTCTCGAACGCGCTCCAACTCAGTCTGGGAGCAATGAGAAAGCTGTTCCAAAGAGGTCTTCAAGCATAAGATTATTAAAATCAATAAATCTAACAACTTTACAAAAATAATTTGCCAATATAAATAAATGAAGAAAACAACTTAGATAAATTCTAACTGCCTTGGACATCAATATAAAAGGTTGATCTAGCATGTACAGTACATATGATCCGCAAACAAACTAAAAAATAAAAAATCATATAATAGAAAGGTCTTCAATTCATACCATTACTGTTGCAAAAAAACTAAAGAAAAATCTTCAATTCACCACCTTAAATGTTATGTTTTCTTCAATTATTAAATACATGAATAACCATCACTTACACAACAAAAATATATTTGCAATCACCAACAAAATTTTAACAACTTCAATGGACAGAAAATAAAGAGATTCCACAAACTCAAACACCCCATAAATAATCAAATAAACTAAAACACTTAAAATCACCACGAAATCCAAATTCTAAGCGTTAACAAAATCACTTGAATGAGAATAAAAAGATAAAACAAAGAAAAGTGAAGCTACCTGTGATGTGCCATAACTCCCGATACCGTATAGGCGTCGTTTTTTACAAGTTCCTCCCACGGCTGTGATATAAAGCTCGTCGATCCTTTTATTGCTTTGTTCTTCTTCTATGTTCGAGTCGACAGTCAATGACGGATCATTTGAAATAAGAGACTCCAGCTCCAACTAAAAAATGAAATGCAAGTTGAGAAATTAATAAAAAAAACAAGCAGATGAATACTTGAATAAAGAAGTAGTTTATGACTTACAGCAACTTTCTCGGACCTAGTGTCTGTCCACTTTCCCTTTGCCTCATTCCAGTGTAATTTCTTATAGACCTCATAATGGGTAGGCTTTCTTCCCAATTTTTGAGTCTGAAGTTAACAAAATGACCAACACCAAACAACAACAACAATAAGTTTCTCTAATGTAGACGAAAAAGAATTATGACTATAAAAAAATAAGTTTCTTTAATACACATGAAAATTTTACCAACTCTCGCGCATAATTGTCTGCCGACTTGGACCCTCCATTGTGGACAGACATTCCTGAACCGGGTCCATTCACCTCAGTCCGACGATTAGCCGACCGTTTTCTACAGACCTCCTTGAACTCTGTTTTATTCCACTCTTTCCAATAGGCATCCCAAATCGATTTTTGCACAGAGGGTGGTTGTTTTTTTGTTTTCCTCAAATGACTCATAAATTCAGAATAACGATACCCGGCATGTCTCAACCAAACATTATATACATTTCTCTCATTATCAGGTGGAAAAGAGAAGGATTTCTGCAATTAAGTATTATAAAGCAATTTAAAATTTTTTAAACCAATAAATTAAATGCAATACTCACACTAAGAAGAAATGATCCTTCAAAAAATAATGGGCTATACTTCAAAGCTTTATAAAGTACAAGGTGGATTTATATTTTTAGGGACTTAATATTAAAAATGAAATTCTAACCTTGAATAACATCCAATACCAATCCAATGTATCCTTCGTCACTGCAGCCCATGTGTAACCCTCTGGACAAAGTTTCTCTTTGAAGAGTTTAGTCATGAAATTTGAAACAGCATTTCCCGGATATAATCTAACAGTGAAATAATGTTTGATAAATTAAGATTGACAAATTACTATAATTATAAATTTATAATATGTGAACTCTTTACTTACCTATCCTTGCCCACAATTTCTACGGGTGTTCGTGAGACTAGAGTTGAAGCCATTGATGATGATGATGATGGCATAGACCTTGATGGTGACAACAAAGCATTACCATCCTCATTTGTAGCATGATCTGAATCAAGAGATACCGATGGCGAAGGACTTCTATGATGCCTGGAATCTATAATTACCATGAAATCAACTTATAGTACAATAGATAATTAAATATAAACATAATATATGGAAACTAATAGAAATGAAAGAGATACCCAATAAAGCATCGGGTAAATCACCAGCTTGATCCAACTGTCCCTCTACTGCATCACCTATCTCCGTACCTACTAAAGAGGGTTGAGTAGTTTTCATACCTGATAAAAGGGGTTTACCATGTGTATGCAAATTGTTAATTCAATTTAGTTTAGACATGATTATTGACTGCAAAATGATATTATACACATACGCGGAGGTGACGCTGAATAGCCACCTCTGCGTCCACCATGTGACGGAGTAAAATCAGCCAGTTCCTCTCGTGCCGCATTCCGTATTGCCTCTCGTGCTGCAGCTAATGTAGGATAAGACTTACCTCCACGACCCTTGGCACTTCTTCTCGCCATGATACTCACTCTAATCGGTTCATTACTTAATAGTCACACTCTGATAACAATAAATTATGAAGAATCAAAATAAATACAAAGAACAAAACGACCAGATCAATCTAAACACTCTCTATGCATATGTTCTAACTCAATTGGATTAGTTGTTGTTTGTCGGACGACACATAAGAAACAAGCAAACATGTATCACAAATGATTGACGATTTAAATGAAACATATAAAACTTATAAACAAAAACCAAAATACAGGCAATAGGAAGTGAGAAAAAATAAACGCCACCGTCGCAAAATATTTGCCATCAAAAGAAATCCCTAAACAGCACCTCAAATTAGCAGCAAAATCGAACACCGAAGAAAAACAGACTAATCAAACTCAAACAAACTCAAGATCATATATACGACTAACATCCAATCAATAGAATGAGTAAGCATATATAAATGAAGAAAATCACAACCAGAAAAATGAATTCCTAATTTCACCGCATATCTCAAATCCTTAATCACACACAAAAGGCACACACGATGGACATTTCACACAGAGCACACATATATACACACACGCAGAGAGAGATGGAGACACACACCCGTATTTGGGAGACGAGTTCAGCGAGAATTTTAGGCTCGAATTGATGGAATAGAGAGGACGGATGCTGGTGGCAGCGGCTGAACAACGACTGCTTGGCTGGAATCCCTAACTTACTTGCTATACACTACTGCAAATACATAAAATAGTGAGCTTGCCAATGTAGAAACAATATAGTGGGCCAAATTAAAGCACAACAATTTCAGGCGGGTAAGATATATCACAATTAAATTTAACTTAACACAATTCCTAGAACTTACAACTGAACAAGAACATATGACTAAGTGAAAGGGAAGAAAGATACTGTTTTAAATTTTTTAAAAAATTAGTAATTACCTTTAAATCTGAAAGTGGGGTTGGAAGCGGGTAGTCGAGGCGTCGGAGGCGGTGCCCCAAAGGCGGGGCGACGAGGAGAGGCGCAAAGCCTTTGTGTCGGAGGTTCCAGGGGGACGACGAGCCTTTGTATCGGTCAGAAGAGAAGCGAGAGGGGCTAAGGTGAAAATGTGGAGAGACGGAGAGCGAGGAGAATGTGCGCGGGAGACTGAAAAAAGTTGATAGAGGTGACTGATAAAACCTAGGGCTGTTCGATGGTTTTATTACTTTTTCAGATTTATTTCTTGTTTAAGTACTTAAAAAACTATAAACACCATTATATACAAAGTTAAGAGAGTGGAGTGGTAATTTTGCTCACCTCTTCATTTAGATGTCCTGTGATCGAGACCTAACAGGTTCTTTGTTTTATTTTGTTTTTATCTTATTTTGGATTTAAATCTCTTGGGTGTTAAGTTTTTTATTTTTTATTTTTAATTTTATTAGTGATTTAAATATCTTGAAATGTAAATTCCTAGAAATATTTTGTAATTTTATTTTTCTAATTAATATTAATATAATTTATTATTGTTATAAAAATAAATATAATTTATTTCCTTTTATACATACAATATGGATGTTAATCCGACAATATCAAATCATACGTTGTCAATCCATGAAATTAAGTATATTTTATTTTGTTTTTATCTTATTTTGGATTTAAATCTCTTGGGTGTTAAGTTTTTTATTTTTTATTTTTAATTTTATTAGTGATTTAAATATCTTGAAATGTAAATTCCTAGAAATATTTTGTAATTTTATTTTTCTAATTAATATTAATATAATTTATTATTGTTATAAAAATAAATATAATTTATTTCCTTTTATACATACAATATGGATGTTAATCCGACAATATCAAATCATACGTTGTCAATCCATGAAATTAAGTATATTTTATTTTGTTTTTATCTTATTTTGGATTTAAATCTCTTGGGTGTTAAGTTTTTTATTTTTTATTTTTAATTTTATTAGTGATTTAAATATCTTGAAATGTAAATTCCTAGAAATATTTTGTAATTTTATTTTTCTAATTAATATTAATATAATTTATTATTGTTATAAAAATAAATATAATTTATTTTCTTTTATACATACAATATGGATGTTAATCCGACAATATCAAATCATACGTTGTCAATCCATGAAATTAAGTATATTATTGTATCTGACTGTATCTCATTATTATGGTAAATATAAAAAAATTATATGGTTAATTATCTATGAATATCGTATGATTAATTTTATACGTAATTTGCATTTGAATTAGAAAATGTATCAAGCAGTGAACATAAAATCATATATTTTCAATATTAATCATATGTTTCATAATTTGAATTTTAATTAGAGAGCTAGTCTCTCATTTTCAGTTAATACGTACTAATTATCTACGGGATATCAATTTATTTTTTCGCTTAACATATTTAATAATGTCATCACACACACACACACAATGAAAAGAATGCTTATATGTCACCATAGGAATCACCACCACCAACCTCCAACGGAATCATATAGTGATTAAGGTGCAATCCATATAATTATAATGTGTAATCGCAATACATAAAAGTATATAAATCATAATAGTCATATTTTTCATATAGCTCGACTCTTTCAATTTTGATCGAAATAATCAAAATATATAAATTTTAAAATGAACCGAAATTACCGCGCGAAAATAATGTGAGAAACCGAAAAAATATGGTAAATTTTAATTTTTTCACACATGACTATTTTAGTCGCTAGCGTTACGCTAAAGTGCAATCCCATATACATTATTGTATGATATGTCTATCACTATTGTGCATTCTATATTATATATAAAAAAATTTAATGTAGAAATTGTGCATTTATTAGAATTAGGAAAAATTGCACCATTCGTCCACTAATTATACCCGAGTTGCACTTTCGTCCTTTAATTATTATTTTTTTACTTTTGGTACACTATCATTTTTTTATGGCAATTTTCGTCCAAATCGAGGTTCCGGTGCTCATTTTTGCCGGAAAGCTGATGTGGCGCCCAGTCGGATTGTGCGCCACATCAGCTTTTCCGGTGCCACATTAGCTTTTCCGGCAAAAATGAGCACCGGAACCTCGATTTGGACGAAAATTGCCAAAAAAAAAATGATAGTGTACCAAAAGTAAAAAAAAAATAATTAAAGGACGAAAGTGCAACTTGGGTATAATTAGTGGACGAATGGTGCAATTTTTCCTTAGAATTGTTGATTCGAATAAATATAAAATCGAACCGAAATAATATGTTTATTGGGTCGGTTACGGGAATCAATCATAACAACTAAATATATGATTTTTATTATAAAAATATATTTATTATTTAATATTTTATATACTTGTGTTTTGCTGAAAAGTAACAGTATATAAAAAAATATAAAAATAATACCAAATCAAGTGGTCTTTGAAGGACTTAATTGAAATTAAGAATTTGCAATTAAGTCCTTGAAGGACTTAATATGTAATGAAAGTCTAGGAAATCTGTAGGTAATTATCGACAAAAAATCCTGTAGGTATTTTACCTACATGAACATTTGTAGGAAATTTGTTGAGATTCAATATTTGTTGGTAATGTGTAGGAATTTTCCTAGAAACACTTTGTAGGTAAAGTACCTAGACAAGGTTTCTAGGTAAACTTTCGTTTATTAATATGTAAGGAAATTGTAGGTAATTTATAGGTATTTACCAAGAAAATATTGTTGTAGGTACTTTACCTATATAAAGGTTTGTAGGCATATTTTCTTGGGATACAGTTTCTGTTGGTAATATGTAGGCATCTTCCTAGAAATATTTTGTAGGTAAATACCTAGACAAATTTTCTAGGTACAATTTAATGTATTTATATGTAATGAGTATCTTGGTAATTTGTATGTATTTACCAACAAACTTTTATTGTTGGTATTTTACCGACATAAAATTTGTAGGAAATCTTCCATGTGTGTTAGTGTAGGAAATGTCTAGGTAATTTGTTGGTATTTAATTACAAAATTTTTTTTGTAGGTAAATACCAACAAATTACCTACATATTATTATGTAGTACTATTCTTGTTGCTAATTTGTTGTAGTATGATTTTATTATAAATTTGTCATGTTTTGTAGGTATTATCTTGGTAAAATCTTGCTATTTACCTAGAAAACAATTGTCTAGGTAAATTTTGTAGTTATTTTAACATTTTCTTGTAGTGAAATTAGTCTCCTACTAATGTTGATGATTAAGAATTGCGAATTGGTACAAAAATTATGGTTTATTTTCGTGCTTTTTTACGCTTAACCTTTTTTGTTCGATGTTGTAGGAAGAACACCTGATGAAATTAAATGCAGAACTAAAGAAAAAGGTGGATGCCGAACATGGTATCAATTTTATTAATTTTGTTTAACAAATTTCTAAGCGTGCACGGGTTTGTGCATTTCTCAAGAGAATTATTTAGATATTTAATTCACTTTATTCTTCTTTTTCAATAAACTAGTGCAAATGAAGCACATATATGAGGAAAACTTGTGAAACCTTGTGTAAATTGGTTCTCAACGACTTGGAACCATTACAAGATAATTGTAATATTTTGTGGTAGCAGTAGATATTTGGATAATGAACAAGTTGAGCTGGATAAAATGCTTGTTAATCAGACAAATTCCGATTAAGAAAACAGGTCTGTTAATTAATAAGTTGAGCTGGATAAAATGCTTGTTAGTCATTCCCCAAATAAATTTGGACATGGTCTCATCTTATCGGTAGATTTTGTATTAGGTCAACCTCATCATTAGACTGACATACTATTTTTACAAAGATGCATACTTAGATTAAAATTGTCATAATTTAGAAAACTTCATAAATAAAAATATGATAAAGTATGACACTTAATTTCTCCCTCTTACATATAAGAAAAAGTGTGAGGGGTTCAATGCCTTACACATGTCAATTTTTTTGGATGTAAATGCCCCTCACTTATTCGTCTTTTTACAGGTGATGCCATACCTCTTAAGATGTGTTTGCCATCATTTTGTTTAGGTAACTAGGACGCTCACGCCGTGCACAGCACGGCGGGCCCACGGAGATAAATTGATGGTTGTTCACGCATTTTTGCAACATGTACTAATATTGTATGTAAAAGCAATTGCGAAACACTTGGAAATTGCATAGCAGGTACCAAAAGAAGCATACTGTTGTAATTATGGTTACAGGCGACAAAACAAGTAGTAGAAAGTGGCAGTCTGCAAAAGATGGCATACATAACAGGACATTTGCAGAATTTAAAACATCTACTTCTAAATAGATGTTTGTAATTCTGTTAAGTTATGATAGTCATGACAGCAAAAGCAAAAGGACAACAAAAGCAAAAGGACAGCAAAAGCAAAAGTTTAGGCACAAAGGTTTTAATCCATTTTTGGGCGAATTTTCTTTGAAGGACTTGTAGTGGGATTGTGTTCTGCTTGAACGTTTGATTTTGAGGACTGGGGTGTACTTGAGGTGGCTGTTTGTGTGGTGACTTGTTCGCTGTCGAAGGTAATGCGTTTTTTGGCTGAGCTTTCTGTAGTTGGAAGAAGGAGTGTTTTCTCAGTCTTTACATCAATTGACTCTAACACATTTTTGAGCGTCGGGCTGAAGAAATTTGGATCGGCTGCCTGTTTTATAAAAATTAGGCATAAGTGTAATATATTTTTTTAATATGAAGTGGATGTAGGTCTAATATGTTATGTAATACCTTTGATGGTGTTGATGTGGAGGGCTCTTTGGCAGATGATTTTGGATTAGTTATATTCCCTTGCACCATCATCAGTTCACCAGTGTAAAGCTTGATTATTGTGTGGTGAGTTGACTCAGAATGTTTAATGAAGCAGATGACTTGGTGCTGTGCGACTGATGCGGCAATTTGTTGAGTTAAGTCATGGCCCTGCAGATAATTGTAATGCAATGTATGAAAGTTATTTCAATGGTTGGTTCAGAAAATCTGTGTTTTTTTTTTTTTTTTTCCAATGAATCTATTATTTGTTTAATTTTCATCTTAGTATATTTACTCTTTCATCTTTAGTAATTTCCCATAAATCTATGAACAGGTTCTATGATGCTACTTTTAAAATGATAATCACGGTAAGTCGAGTAACTTAAAGTTAAATTACAGAGTTTTTGTGTAACCAAAGTAACAATAATCTGTAATTTTTTTTTTAGCCGTGTGCAAAGCAAAAAACATCTGAAGTGGGAAATTAAAAGAGTGAAGCAGGATTTTTTTTAAAAAAAAATCAGTATTATATTATAGTAATGACATTAGCAGAAAATATGTAAGTAAACATTTATGATATAAGTACCTGTTGGTCTGCCTCATAAAGTTGATTGCCATTGTAAGGGACTAATTGTTCTGCATCAGCACCATATATGACTGCATATATGGTTCCAGTTTTATCTTGAATTGTTACTGGCAACCGGCACCTAATGTAGTTAAATAGTTATTTGATTGCGAATTAATTTATAATAATGTGTGTTTTATAAAATGAAATTTTATGCGTAAATGATACCTCGCTTCTACATGAGAGTCTTCTCCGCAACTACGGCATTTCATTGGAGTGTTCGGGGGCATGTTGTAATTTTTACAACAAATCTGGCATGCGGTAGCCCACAAAGGTCTGTTGTCATTATCGAATTTGATTTTGCCGCTAATCCAACAAGTTTTCACCTGTCCCCATTGTTATTTTTGAAAAAAAAAATGAAAAGCAAAAACATGAATGAGCATTGTTGTTTTAGGAATTCAGGAAATGCGTAATGCTTACATATCTGATTGACGCCAATGCATCGGCAATAGTATTCACATCAGTCATTTCAGGCATTGGGATGAGCTTATCCGTATTCCTGTAAGTTTCTTCATTCACAAGCTGTGTCACACGATTTTTGTTTTCAGTGTACCTACATAAGAGTTTTAAGATTTTTTTTAAGATCAATGTATTTAGATTGGTTATCTGTGTTTTAGAAAATAAAATATAGTTTAAAATGAGTTTACCATTGCTTTAATTCAGCGGCTGCAGACATTGGCGGATTGACCATCAAACAAGTCCCACCTTTTGTAGACAATGACAGACCTCCAGAGAAAAAAATAAAAAGAAAAAAAAATGTCATGGTTTGTTATTTCAAGTAAGTTGTGATTTGTGAAGCAACGATTAATGCTAAGTTTTACCATTAAATGTGACAACCCTAACTCGCATAGCAAGAAGAATATTTCCAGCCGCTATCGTATTAGCCAAGTGTGTACCTTGCTCTTCTTCAAATTGATTCCATAGTGTTAAGAGCATTGGCTTTTCTCTGTACAATATTAAAAGTCAAATAAAGAGTTATATAATATAGTTGATTCATTTAAAAAAGATTTCTTACTCTTGATTAACAATGACCAGGTCCCTTGTTTTGTTGTTTCTACCAAGAGTCCTCACTGGAAAAGCATGGACGACAAACGCCAAAAGGTCTAACACAATATACATTGTGTTAAAACAAAAAATAAAGAAGATAAACTAAAAGTTAAGGCAGGCTATATTGTGTGCTGTTTATTTGATGATTGCATAATAGTAATTGCTTAATAAGTTGCATGGTTGTGCATAATAAACTTACTCCTTGGGTTTTCTGTGTCAGCATACTTGTGTATGTTTGCAAAGGCATGGACATCAATTAGGCACGGAAGTTGTGGAGGTATGGATTCTTGGTATTCTTCGGCGTAAGTTCTTGTATTTATAAGCCAATTGTATTTGTAATCACCAACTTGATACAAAGGAACTTCATGTCGAACCTTTGCTCCAGTGAGGTAGTACCTCTTGTACGGCATAAGAAGTTCAGCAAATTCGTCGATAACTGCGTTATAAGCCACTGCAGAAACCTTTGTCCCCTGTATAAAATATTAATGACCAATCCTTAGTTATTAGATTTTGTATTTTTGTATTTGTATATGTAAACAGGGAAAAAATCATATGTTTATACCTCTTCATCGGTGAACAAATATCTGCGGTAAAGCATAGAGGAATCATTTTTGCTTGTTTGAACGGGTGGCCGTTCAACAACCTGAATGAGTGCAGTCCAGTTTTTTGTTTCATTTGTAATTTGGCTAATTGGCAGGTATGGTCGTGACATTATGATCTGCATATAATAGTAAAAATTGTGAGAAGCACATGAAGGTATATAAAAAATAGTTGTGATTCATATGAATTAGACTAATTAATAATAAGCAAATCGAGTATGTTTTGAGCTAAAAAAGAATATATAGTAAAGTACGTTGTGTAACCGCAGCGGCTTCAAGAACTTCATGGTATACTATGTTTTTTGTGACGTCAATGCGTTCTGGATCAAAGAATGGTGGCTTTATCACAAACTTAATTGCGTAGATTGTTTTGCTCGTGACAAAGCTACATATAGTTGTCCATGCGAAAAAATTGGTTCTTTTAAGTAAATACCTACAGACTCTAGAGTTTGCCCTTGTGCTTTGTTAATAGTCATAGCAAAACAAAGGCGTATGGGAAATTGTGTTCTTGTGTAAGGCACAGGAACTTGGTCGTCAGAAGAAGGTTTTAATGGAATCCTATGAATAAATACACTTTTTCCTTTAAAGTCTCCTATAGCTATTTCTGCATGGATAACGTTTCTGCTTAGTTTTTTACAAATAAGTCTTGTTCCATTACACAAACCTTCTGTAGGATCTAAATTTCTAAGAAGTATAATAGGGGCATTGACCTTCAACTGTAGTTTATGAGGTGGCATACCACCAGGAGTTAGAGTATTTATTATATCTTCATAAAGGCCTTTATGAATAGGGTTCAATACTTCGTCAAAACTAAGATACTCGACCATTTCTCCTGGGAAGTCATTGATGAGTCTATTATTTATTTCATCCACGAAGCAATTTTTTGTAGACAAAATAGCACTGTTCATTGAATAATTTAGGTGTATGTTATTTCCTGTATTGCTTTGTATGTTATTCGTTGTATCTGTAATAGAGAACTGAGGATATGTTATTTTGATTAACTCTTCCAAAGCATTTTCTGTATCTTGGGCTTTGATTATAAAGGAAGGAGGCAAATATATTGAGCTATTATTATGTGTAGGTTCTAACCCATTTCCAATTCTTAGCAAATACTCTGTAAACGCTGGATCGAGGCGAGCCCTCATATTTTCTTTTAGTTGAATTTTTTCTAGTAATGGCCAAATATAAGAATTCGTAATGCATGCATCTATAGTATCGTGTTTATTCCCTCTACGAACAACAGGCAATATTTGTCTAAAATCACCGCCAAAAACAATGACTTTACCTCCAAAGATATCAGGTGATTCTGTTAAGTCTTTTAGCATTTTGTCAAGTGCTTCTATTGATGCTTTTTTAGACATTGGTGCTTCATCCCATACGATTAATTTACTTTCCCTAATTAAATTTGCTAAATTGCTTTGTTTGCTAATTTTACATGTTTTTCCTTCAGACATATTAATTGGTATCTTAAATCTGGAATGTGCTGTCCTACCACCCGGTAGTATAGATGCTGCAATACCAGAAGTAGCAGTAGCTAGTGCTATATAACCTTTTGATCTAATGTCAGCCAAAAGAGCTCTATATAGAAATGTTTTGCCAGTCCCACCTGGGCCATCAATAAAAAAAGCTCCTGGTTTTCCACTATAAACTCGTTCTAGTATAATATCAAAAGCATGTTTTTGTTCTCGATTAAGTGATTGTATGGCATTTAAATCTTCTTGACAAACAGTTATATTTTTTTCGGCTATTATTTCTCGATTGTGTTCTTCAATCCGTAAATCAATATCATCGGGCAAGATATGGAATGAATGAATATTTTTCCCCATAGATTCTAGAAAACCATTTATTTGCTGTAAGACGTTTTTTCTAATATCTAATTTGCTTAAATGTAAGTTTCGCGCGTAATCTTCAGACATAGCATTTTCATACTTGAAGAACAATTCTCTAGGGTTGTTAGGACATGAATAAACAAGAAGATTAGCAAAAAGTCTTCTCATTTCATAAGGCATTCTAAAAATAGAAGCTTCTTGAAGGCAAAGATCTTGGGTGTTATCATCCTGTAAGAGTCCTCTTAAAAGAGCTGCCTCACGATTAGACGAAGCAACTTTGTTATTGAAAGTTCTTATGTCTATGTAAGATTTAGGAGCTTTAACGTGTAGCAAGAGTAACTTAAGATAATATCTATCCCCTTCATTTGGATGTACAGTTACTATTCTAGCTATAGAATCTTTTCCAGTTCTTTTTTTCCATTTTTTTTCATCAGGCAGCCAAACAAAGTACTCAGGGAATTCTACATATGTTAAATTAAGGGACTGTGCATATGGATCAGTTCTGTTCATATAAAAAAATTCAGTAAGCATGGTTTTATGATTTCTTGGATTATTTACAATTTTATCTAGTCTATCTTTTTTTCTGTAGCTTATTGTTTGATAATTTTTTAGATGAACAGGTAAATTAATAACAGACGGTTTTATTTCGCTTATTGGGAATCTGAAAATCCTCCACGCAGCTTCAGGTGGAGAAACCCAACGTGCTGTTCTATATTGTTCAATTTCATCAATTTGCACATTTTGATTAGATGTGTCAACATGAAATGCTATTCTATCATGACCTTTACAAATGTACTTATAAATGTACTTAACAGATCGGATTGTTGAACAAACCTCTACATTAATATGGCAGTTGAACTTTGCAAGTAAATATGGATTATATGGTACGACCCATCGATTATCTAACATTTGTCCTCGAACCTTAACTTTAACGTTATTATTTCGTCTTTGATATTTTGGATATGAATTACTTATTTGCACAGTACGATCAGAAAATGGTTTTGGATAATTAAATCTACATTTCTTCTCACTTGTCATACATGAATTACTTTCATTTAATTCTCCACATGGGCCATGCATCATGTGTTTCTTAACCATATTGTACAAATGAGGTTGTGTTTCTTTGTTTGGTATTTCAGCAGCAACAATTTTATCAAATTCTTCAGGGCTATATAATTTATCTGCTTTTGCAAGTATAATAAGCATGTGAGCATGCGGAAGTCCTCTTTTTTGAAACTCTATAACATATGTGTATGCTACTACTTCTCCAAAGAGATTTTTTTTAAGTATATCCTTTTTTAATTCCTCAAGTTTAGCACGAAAAACTCTTGATATTAAATCTGGTCTATTATGTGCTTCTTCGTTTTCAGTCAAAACTTCTTTTATTTCAGGCCAACTGGGATTGCATGTCATAGTTAAAAAAATATCGGGCTTACCAAACCTTTGCACTAATGTCATTGCATCTAAATATCTTTTTTTCATGTTTCTTGGACCTCCAATAAAATTGGCAGGTAAAAAAATTCTTTGGCCTATTTTTGATGCATTTGTTTCACCTGCTGCTAGACTATCTTGTATCCCCTGTAGAAATTCTTGTCTTATCTCATTTTGCTGAAACTTAAAGAAATCTAATCTTTGTGACTCAATTTTGACATACACATCAACTATATATTGCTGAAATAATCTACCAAAATTTAATAAATAGGATCTGTCATCTTGTCTCATCTGCAATTTATAAGCATAATAATCTCTCATGGAAATAAAATTTCTATTGCCTCTTGTCTTAGTGTTGGCTGAAAAGTAAATTGTTATATGTTAGTATTATCTCAGAGAAAAAAAACATTGAAAGAATTTTTGCAAAATATAACACAGTTCTAAACTATTTTATAATGTTACTTACCATCCTCAGCTTCGATTAACTCTTGAGCAGATTCTAGATTTCTAGGCGAAATCCTGTGATATGATTGTGCTATTCTTGAAGTATTTTGGGAAACAATATTCCCTAATTTTTCTAAACCTTGATGCCATCCAAGTTCACCAAAAGGAAAAAGTAAAGGATATTGAAGTGGATCATAACAACCATAGTAATATTGTATTCTATGTGAAATGCCGCTATGGCTATATATCCGAATGTTTCTTTCAGATGGTTCTTCTCTATCATCATTATCAACCCATAAGGCTGCTACTTGAGATGATTCTGGTTTATTGTAAACTCTTTGGTCAATTTTCGGAAAAGTGCGCAATATTATTTTATAATCATCGAAATTGGATAATTCGCTAAGACTTCTAAAGAATTTTGCATAAGGATTTTCCTTTAGCACAGTCATGATTTTTTGTATTATTGATTCTGTTAATCTAGGGCAAGCTTTCATCCGATTAGTAATCTCATTTTCAGTATCATGGAAATATAATTGTAAATTTTGAGAAGCCTCCAAATCATTCAAAAAATGATACATCTGTCCTTGTATTCTGAAAGTATAAATCCCTTTATCACGCCGGGTTAAATTGTTATCACATTTTACTCCCAATGATGTAAATGCAAATTGGTTATTTATAGTTCGTATGCAATCTCGAAACAACTTGGATTCTTCAGTTGATGAGAAAAGTAGTGTTTTCAAAATTTCTGGCAATGGATTATGTGCTAATTTTATATTACCATCGGAGCAACAAAACTTACTTGATTCATACGGAAATTTAACAGCATTGCAGTATGGACAATTTTTTTGTTTAGAAAATATAAAAGACTCACCTGCAATATTATCCAAAAGGTTATGCCGTGCTGACTGAGAGTTACCTAACATAAATACAGGTGATAGCCATGGTCTATTAGTTAATCTTAATTATTTCCCACGAAAACCTAAGATAATTTTTTCTGCTCCACTGTACCTGTTAACCTTGATTTATTAATTGTACATGTACCTGTTGTTTAACATAGATTAGATGAGAGTATAACTTAAAAAGTAATTACAAATAAATTATGTTCAGTTAGATTGTTAGAATGCTGTATATTTTCATTGAAAATTATTACCTTTCCTACGCGACGACGACGCTGTGGGTTCACCTAATTCTTGCACTTCACGTAAATTAGTGTAGCACTCAGAGGATGACTGTTGAGCACTTTTAGATGATGAGTTTCTGGTTCTATGGTTTATTTCTAGACACAGAGTTATATATTTTTTTGTGGGCAGAGGCTTAACAGTCTCATGTTGATTTACTGTTAAAACATTTTTGTTTTGAGAACATGTTTGTTTATTTTTCTTATCTCTCAACTTTTCAATTGTATTCAGTTTCCCTGCGCTGGCATTAAATGTAAATGTAGATGTATTTTCAAACAAAGGCCTCACAACTGTTGGATTTTTAGTTTGTTTAGCCAACGTTTCCTGTGTATAATATATAGCAGGTTCTGTTAATTGATACCCCTTACATTGTACAGATTCCATCGATCTATGGGTGTGTAAACCTGCAGAATTATGTAATATAGTATGCCAAAGAGCATTTTCAGGATTGTACATTAATGTATGTGTATTTTCAGTTGCAAGCAAAGTGCGCCTTTTTTTGTTTTTCCATCTTTGAATAGCATGATATCGATATCTTTTTTTAGATAGAGCCATTCCAGAAGTCAACAGTTCACTTGTATTATGTTTTGGAGAACTAAACATCTTTAGAATATTTGTCTATAGAACACAAACTTTTAACACCAGACTAAAGTGCGAATTAAATTAATGTGGGAAAAAAAACCTAGAAAAATTAAAGTTTTCCTAAAAGAACATAAGAAATAAACCCCCTAAAAAGTACCGGCTATTTTAATATAAACTTATATTACTATGGAAACAACTATCTTTTTGATATAACCGTCGTTATTGAGTTTAACGAAAGTAGATTACTTTTTAAGAGCTATAAAGACCCCTGCTACGCAACATTAAAACCAACAAAACAGTGAATAGATTGAATATGATAAACCTGTTATTCCTACATACATATATGCATCAATCAATTTTAACAACACAATGATAAGCAGATTTTTACAAATTGAAGCTATAACCTAATTATAGATATAAGACTTTATCGTACAACATAAAAAACCATTAAACTTCAAATACAGTAAAAAAGGACAATTATATTAGCAAGATATAGCTATAAAGAACAAATTAAGATTAATATATATAATTAAACTCATATAAAGTAAAGTAAAGCAAATATATAACTAAGAAAATCTTACACAAAATATGAGTTTTGGACAATAGCTGGCTAACCTGGTAGTAGCAAACGACGAACAGTTACAGCGTTTTGATTCGTTTGGCAAGAGACTGATAGAGCAAGAATCTACAAACAACAAAATACATATTCAAGTAAATCAATTAGTTGCTATACAGTTACAAATACATATAATCAGAGCAACTTTTTCTACAACATATGCACCTAAATAAATTAGAAATTGCCCAGAAACCTTAACATCAAACGTTTGCAATACCTCCTACAAAAGTAACAGGAAAAACACTCCTAAAAAAGAAAAAAGAAACCACCTTAAACCTACCGTGTGCACAACTACTATTTAATATTCACATATCTCTCTATTCTCATGAGAGCAGGTTAGTCTTGAATAGATGAAGTGGAACATATAATGTAAAAGTGTCAAGTTTCTTGACAAAACACAAAGACAAAAGCCAACAAATAACCCATTTTAACATATACCAAAAACAAACACATCTTAATATTAGATTTCTTAGATTGCATATCCCTAAGAAACTCATTTTCACATCCTTAAGATAAACTGACCATAAAAATATAAAGATGAAGAAATGGCAAACAGAAGGAAAACCACCATAATTCCTGAACTGATAAACAAACACAGATGATTTTAACTATCTCAAAAAGAAACTCACCTAGAAAGATATGAAGACAATATAGTCATACAGTATAGAAAACAGAAATAAAACTGTGTTGTTTATTGCAACCAACCACAGTAAGCCACGGCACAAAAACAGGATGAAAAATTGAACATAGCTTCAACAGGATGAAAAAATTCAGATAAATCTAAAGCAATCCGTATAACATGAGGAGAAAGAAATTACCTGCTTTAGTAGATATTTTTCTCTGAAAGCACTACTTAAAGACAAACTCCTTTTATAGAAAGGTATAGAATGTAAATATAAATAAAATAAAGCATACAATGTAAGACATACCTCATTTTTTTGTAATATAATAATGGCTAAAATTCACTTGGTGTGGTTCTATCAAATCATCAATAAACATATAAAATACTGCATGAAGTCATCATTTCATACAACAAAGTGGAAATTATAATAAAAAATTCTAAGAATCCCTGCAATAAGATACAGAAACATCTCAATGTAATCATGATATGAGAAGCTTCTGGCGATCCTCTCGACCTTCTCGTTTTATCAATAAACATATAAAATACTGCATGAAGTCATCATTTCATACAACAAAGTGGAAATTATAATAAAAAATTCTAAGAATCCCTGCAATAAGATACAGAAAGATCTCAATGTAATCATGATATGAGAAGCTTCTGGCGATCCTCTCGACCTTCTCGTTTTAATTTAAAAAAAAAATCCCAATATATCTCATAGCAAAAGAACCCCAGCAGAACACAAGCAAACACACTCCAATGGCAAACAATAAACATAAAATGAAAAAGAAAATATAAAAAATAAAGTGAAACAACCAACTTCCCTGTTTTTTTGTTTTCCCTCATGTTACCGCTGCATCATCCACATTGTTGTGATCCGTCACTTTGAAGAGAAAACATAAAAGTTTAAAAATCAAAAACCCTAGCAAACTTAATGTTGATTGCAACTTCAATTAGAGCTCCATTGAAAGTTTGAAACTGGAAACACAGAATTGAACATAACAGGGGATAAAAGAAAAAAAAAAGTAATTAAGTTTTTCTAGTCAAAATCCAACAACAATATCCCCCGCATCTTCAGTGCAGACACGCAAAACATAATGACAATAATTTCTTAGAAACGTAGAAACCATAGGCATAACACTGAGAATGAAAGACAAACATCATACCATGAAAAAGAATGAAATCGTTTTTGGCACCCATTTGGCAGAAGACCACACTGCGTTGAGCAAGACGTGCAATTATTTTATTTTATTTTTATTTTTTAAATTTTTTTTAGACATAAAGAGGACATGAAATTTTGAAAGCGTTTTTGATGACACCAGACAAAAATACGACACCATTTCGGACCCAAGCAAAACGCAGTCGTTTAGCAACAGCCGACGTGGCCTATCAGCAAACAAAGCCACGTGTCATTATGAGGATGCTCTTACAATCTTTTTATAAGTAAGATAAGAGTTAAAGATTTTTTCTGCTTTTTGAGGGACTAGTAGTCGACCTGTGCATTTGCACAGATATAAATAAATTATTGTGAGTCTGTATGCATATAATGATTAATTATTTTTTTTTAACTTTTTTGCAGACCAAATTTACAATTAAAAGAATTGTAATATTTTTTTTTAAATTGCGTTTATCTGATTGGATGTAATGTATATTTTGGTACGTCTTTTATTTGTGAATTATTTATTATTTATTTAGGAATTTGAAATATATTTTTTATTTGAAAAAAATTAAATGTAACAACAATAATAACATCTAATCACATTATACGGTCAACACATTATATGTCAACTGTCATTAATCAAAAGTTTAAAATGATTTTTGTAATTTTGAAGTGATGAGTATTAATTATTTAATGATTAAATGAAAGATTAAATACATCAAAATGTAACGGTTTTTGGAGGGAAAATTGTTAAATTGCCACATAGGTAAAATTAAATAGGTTTTATTAAATGTTATTAGCTAGTAATTATATATATATAGATAATGGAGTCCGTCACACGTCACTCCCCTTTCCCGGTACCACACCTGTGTTTCATAATTTTTTGTCCAACAAAACACGCAAGATCAACGTTTCGCTCCATACACGCCTCTCTCTCAGATTGATTGACAAACCTCAAATCCTTTTCCACTGTACATTTTTGGCTTGATTTCTCCTTCGATTGAGAGACCCAAAAGCCGATCCGGCGACGGAGATCGGCGGACCGCGCTCGTGAGCGGCGGCAACCACCAACTTCAGGCGGGTGGCAGTGATCGAACGGGTAAGCGAATTCCC